CAAGAGGTGAGGAGTTGGTATTCTCCCTCAGCTTTCTTTTCCTCTGCGGCTCTGATCTTAGAGACCATGTGTTCCGGATGGTGCACAGTAAGAAAGGGGAGGACAGCTTGTGTCGGACTTGATTGATGTGGGTCAGGCCACTGAGATTTTGATAATTAGTTGTTACCGCAGCATCACCTTGCCTATAAAAAAATAACCTCATTGAAACATTACTTATGGTGATAACTGAGTTTTTTGGCACTCCCTTGAATTTTAACCCAGGGCAGAGACTGCATTCGCCTCCCTCTGGTGCGGCCCTGACCTTCTGATGGATGGAAGGGTGAGAAACGGAGGCCGACCAGGACTGAGGGGTGTGGGGGGACCCACCTTGCGGGCTCCAGGGGCATGACTCGAGTCCTGTCCCAGCACTGCCGCTGGTCTACTATTGGCACCGTGAGCACGTCACTTCCTCCCCCATCTGCGAGAGAATCTTTGGAAGATTGCTAAGGCCCCTTTAACGGACTCTTGTATTTTGTCTTGATTGTATATTTTGTACATCTTTGTTGATTTTATTGCCTCGGTCATCACTGTTTTATTTAACTTTTCGGAAGTATCATTGCCCGGTGAATTGAAAATTAAAGACGGGGGGCGCCTGGGTGGCTCAGTCGGTTGAGCGTCCAGCTTGGGCTCCGGTAATGATCTCGCGGTTACAGGGTTCGAGCTCCGCACTGGGCTCCAAGCTCACAGTGTGGAGCCTGCTTGGGAGTCTCTCTCTCTCTCTCTCTCTCTCTCTCTCTCTCTCTACCCCTCCCTCGCTCGCACTTTCTCTCTCTTAAAATAAATAAACTTAGCAAAATAATTTTTAAAAATTAAAAACAAGTAAACAAAAAGACCTCTGGTCCTTCCCCGCAGATGGTTCAGGACAGTGCTTCTCAGAGAACAGGAGCTTATTGGAGATGTTTCCATTGGGGGCATCATCTGTCCAGGCTGATAATAATGAGAGGTGCTGAAGCTACTATGTGCCCGTGCTGGGGCGTCTTATACGTTTTAGTACATCTACGGGAGGAGATGTTATTAACCCCATTTCCCACCACACATGATGGCTGTACCACAATTTTTTCTATGAAAATCCCCTAGGAGAACCCTCAGAGACATCTTACGGAGGAGGGAAACTGAGACCAGCTGTCGGAGCAGGCTTTGGTATCCATTTAACTTCTGTGCATTGATTTTAATTTGCAGGGCCCTCTGGAAAGAGACAAAAAAAGCGTGCCACCCCCACCCAAGCCACCCCCTTTATCTTTGTTTCGGATGGCTCTCCATCCATAATGCCGGCCAACCGTAGGTCGTCCTGCTCACGCAACCCGAGAAGTACTTTGGATGAAGATAAAGGTAAACTCTGTGGCAATATTCTCCCAAAGAACAGGCTTGCTGTTCCCTTTTTTTTCCCCTAGAGAATAGCTTGGTGTCTTGACCGGCTCTGTGCCTAAACGCACACTCAGCAGTTCTAAAGAATGACAGATTCAGCAAGCCCGGTGCGTGTGGCCCGCAGCGCTGGGCCGCCGAGAGGCGTCTGTTGGCTACATAAGAGAATAGGTAATCCCGGCAATTATGTTCCCTTCCTTGACTAAGGGTAGTAGTCACGTAAACAGCATTAGTTGGGAATCACGTCTTTGGTTCTGCCAGTGGCTGCTTTCATAACTGCCTTACGGCATGACCGTGTGACTTTTGTCCTGGTGATCCAGCGTTTCCTCCCATCCAGGGAATGGGTTTGGGCTCCCTGGGCTGCAGTTCTGAGCTTCGGACACGCTAGAGGCATACAGATTAACCCAGGGAAACGCAGAATACCACCGTTATCTGAATATGGCTCGTGGCCGATTTGTGACCTCTCACTCACCTATCTGGGGCATGATTAAATAATGCAAATTCAGTATAGTAATTTCCCCGAGCAAACAACATGACTTCGGTAATTACACCAGCCCCAAAATTCATACATTGCAGTACAAATAGGAACGTTAACTTGCACGAGGGGGTGCTTAGCAGCACCCAGTGTGAACCACTGGTCTGTGGGACTTGCGGCTGAGGTCCAGACCCAGCCTCTAGAATGCCTGTTATGAACAAGGCTCCAGAAAAAAATATATATTGACAGTCCCTTGGGATTGGGAGTGTTCAAGAGTAGAGCTCGTGCCCTGGGTTTTCAGGTGTGTGCCGACCTTGGCCTCCTGACATCCAACCCTTAATGCGGGTGTACGATTTCCAGCCTGACTCTCAGAGAAAGCTGTGTCCCTCCCAGAGGGCCCGAGCACACCTGGAATTAAAGTGCATACACTTTCCAGGGCCTATCCCCATCTTTGTACCTTAGCATTTATGCTCGTTTCAAGGGCTCTGGATGTGCCGGGAGGCTGTCAAGGACCTAGTGGTTTTGGACCACCCTTCTGTGCCCTGGGGGCCAAAAAGATATTTTATGAGATGTTCCTAACGATAACTCCAAAGAGCTGGATGAGGTCTGGGCAGAGGACGCGGAGAGAGAAACTTCCCAAGCAAACCTCCATGCCGTGGACCTGCGAAAGGTCATTTTGAATCGTTGCGACACGTACTCCCAACGCACCATTGCGCAAAAGGCCTTACCTTGTTTCGTTTTGTTTTCTGTCCCTACTCACTGTAGCGTTTTACCCTCTAGGTGGAAAAAGGTAAGGCACGATTACAAAGTCCATTGTTCTTCGGGCAGCCTGGGAGAACATTTTGCTGTCCTTGCAACTTACTCACACGGGATGCAAGGGAGTTCCCAGAATCTCGTGGACGGCGATGCAGGGTTTCTGGGGACAACGTGCAGTGCAGGGCTGCGTGGAGGGCTCAGTGCTGATACAGAGCACACATGGAGACGCTGTGCTCACTCGGTCAGCACCGAGCCCGGCACGCTGTCCACGGTCCTCTGGCTACAATGCGAGGACGGCTGGAGCTTCAAGAGTCTTGGTTGGATCGTTGCTTCCAAATCTTTTCTTTACCTTTGCAGCCTTAAGAAACTGATGCAATTTGTTCACCGAGAAGGGAGACAGCTAGAGAATTCTGTCATTCTGACCACGCCCTCATAAGAGACTGGTTTTTCAGCTTGTCGGGAGAGGTGTTCTCTTGCAGGGGGTGTGCTTTTGTGTGATCATTTGCCTCTGCCCTGGGATCCGTTCTCTGTCCCGCCCGGCTCTGTGTTGCCTGGAACCTTGGTCCCCAGATCCTTCGCCAACTGATCCCACTCCCTGTCTGGCCAGGTTTGGCCACTGGGAGGCAGTGGGGGAGACTGGAATGTGGGAGCACGAGGGAGGCCACAGTTCTTCTTGCCTTGTTTTGCTTTAGGGAGCGTTTCTTTCCTCTGTGGCCCCAGCGCCACTGGCCAGACCCTCCCTCAGGGGCCTGGCTGCTGCCAGGCCGCCCTGACCATGGCCCAAGGGCCCAGTGGACATCGGAGCGGAAATCTGAGGGACACGAGCGAGGGAACCAGGCGGGCAGCTGTGGGGGAGGATCCCAGGACAGGTCAGGAGGGCAGTGGCTGGGGGTGGCGGGGGGGACAGGTGGGGCTTCATCTGAGTGACATGGGACGCTGTTGGAGGTCAACCAGAGTGGCGTGGTCTGCCTCCCATCCTGAAGGACTGGCCTGGTGGCTCTGTGAAGTGCTTAGAGGGTAAAGTGAAGGAACCAGCTGTCACTCATCTAAGCAAGAGACACCGTGGCTCAGACCACAACGGGGGAGGCGGGGTAGTGAGAAGTAGCAGCTTCTGATTCTGTATTTTGAAGACAGAATCCCCAGAATTTGCTGAGAGATGGGGCATAGAGTCTGAGAAAAAGAAACGGGTGACATATGGCTGTGACAGTTTGGGCCCAAGCGAGTGGAATGATCCTATTTCCTAGCAGGGGAGAGGCTGGGGGGACAGGGAGTCTCCTTTTGGCTGCAGTAAGTCCGAGGTTCCTGTGGGACCCCGGAGGGAAAATACCAGAGCCACGGGGAGACATCTGGCCGGAGACATCCTCCCATCGGGCATTTCAGGCTGGAAGCGGAAGAGATCCGGGCATGAGTGTAGACAGTAAAGAGGTCAGGGTCGCTCCCCCATGACCCTCTGCCAGTTAGAAGTTAGGGACATGAACCTCCATGAATGATGAAGAACTGAGAGAGGATCTGGCGGCCAGGAGACAGAAGGGCGTCAAGGAAGGTGAACTGTAAGCGACAGGACTGGGAGGTGACCATGGGGTTCGGCCGCCGCAGCCCATAGCGCGGCCTCCTGGGGAGGGCTCATGGGAGACAGGGTCGTGGCCGTGGCTCATGCTGCACAGCTGGATCCAGGAGCTCCACACTGAACAGGGAGCAGAGATGGGTGGTGGGGAGAGTAATGTGGGTCAGGACAGGTTGGATTTTTTTTAAATGTTTGTTTATTTATTGAGAGGGGGGAGGGGCAGAGAGAGGGAGAGAGGATCCCAAGCAGGCTCTGTGCTGGCAGCACAGGAGAGGCGGGTGTTTAAGGAGCAGGATGTTCCAGCAAGATGGAGTGCTTAATCCCTGGTGCGGAAGAGAGAAGGAAAAGGATGGGAGCTGATCGCTGAAGCAGGGAAGAGGGGCGAGGTGTGCCAGCCGAGCGCTCAGCCTACGTGGGCTGGGGGACGGTCCCTTGTGGGTCGGGGAGCGGGGTGCATGGAGAAAGGGGCAGGGAGCTGGGGGTGGGTGGCGGGTCTGGTTTCTTCAGGAACAGGAAGCGGTGGCGCCCCGGATGTAGGAGGAGTCGGGGGCGTTGAGGACAGAGGGGCCGCAGGGGACATCCCGCTAATGATGGGAATGCAGGCTGCCTCGGGGGCTGCAAGGCCTGTGCGCACGTCATGTCACACACTACGGTGTCGCGAGGGACACACGCTCAGACGCACCGTTGCTGGAGCCAAGCCCGCGTGCACCGTCCCCCAGTAGGCCAGCAGTCTGTCCCTAGATGGATGGCGGGGACTCCCGCCAACCGAGGGCCCGTCCTGTTGGGCTCACCGACAGAGTGAGTAGCTTTTCCTGCCTCTTGATGTTTGCTAATCTGTTAGGTGAAAGCAGCACCTCTTACGTTTAGCACTTCATTGTCTCGTTCGCGCATTGGTATTTCCTGTCAGTTACCTTCCGGGGAACCATCTGCCTGTGCGTTCGGCCCTTTCTCTGCTGGCCGTAGGCTTTCTCTTATCTGCGGACAGGGGCTCTTTGTATACTGACAAAATTAGCCCCTCGGCGGGGCGGTGAGTTGGAAGTATTTCTTCCCAGTCTGTCTCTTGCCTTCCCTTATCTTGCTTTTTTTTTTTTCCATGCAGGATTTTCCCCCTTTCCTGTGGTTTGTTTTATTGATTTATTTTTATGGCTGCTGAGGTTTTCTGTCACGTACAGAGAAGTGCGGTGGGCAGGGCATGGGCTCTGGACTCAGACCTACCCTTGCCACTCCCTGGCGGTGCACGTTGCATAACCACTTGGTCAACGCGGGGTAAGAATGCCTGGGGGGTGGGGAGGTGTATAAGCACCTGCCTGTGGCCCTCAGGCACCGGGCTTCTTTCCCCGGGCTCTGCCTGGGCAGTTTGGGGTAGGCCATGTGCACCTGTAAAGCTTGAGACCTGCGGGTCTGGCCCTTCCTCTGATCCTTCTCCTGGAAAGTATTTTGGGAACCAGAGACACAACGAGCTGTACATTTGGCTCTGTCTTTCGGGCAATCGAAGATGCAGACATCGTGCCTGCCTGTCACGCACCAGAACGTGTGTGTGGCCGTGGAGGACACCCTCCGGGGACAGCCCGTGCCCCGGGATCACCAGGAAGGAGAGCGTGGCCGCTTCCCACGGAGCTGGCCGCTGAGGCGACCCGCCGGCTGTGTGGGCTGAAAGCCTGTCTGAGTCCCAGTGACGGGGAATGTGGGGGAGGGGATGCCAACACACGTCCCCTTTCCATCTTACCAACGTGACATCCACACCCAAGTGTCCCTGAAGAGAGGTTATGCTGTATGGGATGCAAATGTGAGTTTAGGGTTTTTGACTTTCTATGTCTTTCCGGAGCAACTTGTACGTTATTGGACAACAGGGGAACGAGTCAGAGGCTTGGAAACGGGAAACTACATAAGGCCTAAGTGGAAGGAGAAATTTTTATTAAGGCAGAAGTTGGATTGTGTGGGATTTTAGAAAGCGTGGTGGGCTTTGGACCGGGACCCCAGAGGGAGAGGAGCCATAGAGTTATTTGTGGTAGCGTTCCAAGAAGGAGGGCACGAGACCCCGCAGAGAAAGCTGCTTCTATCGAGAACTGTTCCAACTAGAGCTGTGCTGAACCCCTGTCAGAGAGGATTCTATACTACTAGGGCCGGGACTGTGTGTGGCTAGCCAACGTGGAGAGTTGATAGTCTGAAACACAAAAAAGACACGTGTTAGGATCCCCAGAGAGAAATTCCTGTTTGGTCTTAAAACCAGGAACAGTGGTCTTTGTCCCAAATTCTCTTGGTTTGTTTGTTCCTTGTGGGTACCGGAACTGACCCCCGTGTCCTTTTCACGGGTGGCCAGAGCACAGAGCATCAAAGCTGTCACCCACCCACATGTGTGGTGTTCATTCTTTGCTATATCTTCCTCTTTGGGCGAACTTGGCTCCCCTGTTGGCAGGGGCTGCCCTTCCGAGGCAGTGTACTGGTCCCTGCCCACCAGCTCAGCCAATCACAACCAGCCTCCCTTGGGGCGTTGGTCCTGGGGAGCCAATCAGAGCCCTTCCCTGGGATTCTAACTGGAGCTGACCAAGCCCTCTCCCTCCCCACCCCAGTGCTAAAAGGCTTCCACCTGGAGCTGCGCCCACTCAGGGGACAGTAGCCTGAGGGACTGAGTACAGCTCTCAAGGAGAATTAGGGAAGGGAGGACATGGAACCCTTAGTCCCCATCACTCCAAGACCATTTCTTCCTCTCCCTCGCCCACTGAGCCAACAACATTCCCATCTTTGCTTAAGATAGAGTTGGATTCCTGTCTCTTGTAAGACAAGGTGTTAGCTAATGAAGTTCTCTCTTTTAATTAACCTAATCTTGTTATTCTTTCCAGAGCAGGGTGGGGAGGAAAAGACAAAGGCAGGAAGGGAGGAGAGAAGCAAAGAAGGAAGGGAAGGCTGTGTAAGCAGAGTTTGTAGCTGATAAAAGTGCCTGTTATCTAGCTGTTACAGCCTGAACCCCCTTGCCCCTTGGCCAACCTCTTTGCTGTGGTCAGGTAGCCCTGGCCCTCGTGACCAGCGGCCTCCCAGAGGACCTACAGGACCGTGGCATTCATTCCCAAGCCCGTTCTGGATATCTGTGGGAAACGGAGGTTCCGATGAGGTAAGACCCACCCTCCATGTGGGTGGGCGTCCTCCTGACTCCACACGGTGTTTGTGGGGTGCGAGGGCCGTTTTCAGGGGCTCAACTCAAGCAGAGGCATCGGATATTCTTGTCCCTCTGGGGATCCGGACGAGTGTCTCTGATGGGATTGGAGTGCACAAATCTTCTCCCATAGGAAAAGAACTTTGCCCTTTGTAATTGAAGAAAGCCTGCTTAAGCTTACTAATGACTGGGATTATCAAGGTCCATTGGTAATTTTTCAAGTTACCTGAGCAAGAAAAAAACAGTGATTACAGAAGCCCGGACCCAGCATCATCAAGCGCACGTGGGTCATTTACTTTGACAGGCGTAATTCAGTGCTTTTTATTCCTGGTCACACTCCCATGGCTCTGTAACCAGATACCCCCGGGCTAGGAGGTGGGCTGCTCGTTCAGCGAAGGAAAGGTTGTTGGCTTGATAGAAATGGTCAGATATCTGATTCAGAGAATTACCAAGATCTGATGGAAAAGAGGCCACTTTCCTTTTGGTTTATTTTTCCTCAATTTTTTTTTTTTTTTTAATCCTAGCATCTCTTTGTGTTTTTAAGTCCAGATGCACAAAGTGGCTACTCTTCGGGCGACCAGAGATCACAAAATGCCCTGCCTCATATTCTTCCTCTGTTCCGCTTTCGCGGAGAGCAAGCCCGCAAAAAGCAGCGTTGGAATAGCCCGCTGGGAAGATCTGCATCTGTTCTCACGATGTTCCTATTGCTCGAGATATTTTGGAACTCCTTCTAAACGTTTTTGAAAGTTGAGGGCCCCTTGCGAGCTGTGAAGAGCAGAATATTTGTGCAAGTACCGAGCAAAACCGTCCGCACCGGAGAGGCACATAAAAGATCCCGTGAAAACGTTTGCCGACGGCAGGGTGAAATTCCCACGTCAGCCTCTGTCCACATCTCACCCGCCAGTCGGGGTGGCTCTGATTGACCCTGGTTAATGAAAACTGGGGTCAGTTTCAGGCTGAACTGCTTGCGCCCCAGGGATTGCCCAGTGCATCTCTCTCTCTCCCTTTTTAAACAAAGAACCAGTAACTTCAGAGGCTCTCATTTGCTGGCATATCTGTGTCAGTTCGGATCCTTGGGGAGGTGGATGCCAAGACAGAACTAGACATGGAAGACGTTGAACGGGGGGCAATGTCTGTGCAGGATCGGGCGGGAGCGAGCAGGAGTGGGTGGGGAGAGCCTCCGACCACAGCCCAGGTCGGACACCTGGGGAAGGAGAGCGGAAGGGGGTGGGTAGGAAGAGCCTCGGATCAGCACAGTTCACACCCAGACCATGCGGCCTTGCCACACACACAAGTCGCCCGTCAGAGGGAAGGCAGGGACAGCCCGCTAGAGGACCCCTCGTGTTCTGTCGTTGCCTGGGGATGGCCGCAGGGGTGTGGCCTCGGTGCAGGTGCACTGGGGAAGCCTAGTCGGAGGCTCTGGGGCTGTCAGTCAAGGCTGTCCTTGGGAAGGACAGTCGGGTGCCACCTCCGTGACCACCGCATCCCTCCTTGTGACACACAGAAGCACGTTTCTGTGCGCGTGTAGGGAGTGGCGCCCCTGTGGTTTCTGGGGCCTCTCCTCTCGCCTTTGGGGAGACTTGGGGGAAGAAGGATGGAATTAACCGTGAGCCACCACTGCTGCCTCTGGTCTTGGGGCCACGTGGGTGCCCATCCCGCCCCCTCCCCCACAGGATCCAGTCTAAACGGCCTCTCTGGTAATGTGACCCAAACCTTGTCCTGAGGGCTCTGAGTCCTTTACGATCAGACCCTTCTCAGGCAGGGTCGCAGGGCCCAAAGTCACGCTGGGCAAGCATGAGGAGGGAGCCACATGGATCCCCGGCTTCCACGTGTCTTCCTCCCCCACCCATTGTTTGAAAGCATCTTACCTCCCACTGCTGGTCAAGGTTAACTTACCCTCCAAGAGGGTGACTTCCTTCTTCACCCACTGGGCCCTGGACAGGAGCCAAAAGCGTCCTGGTAAGAGCTGTAGCTTGTAGTTGAATGGGACCCTGCCTGTGTCCCCTGGCAAGAGGGTGTCCCCTATTGGGACCCAGACTTTTAGCTCTACAGAGTCCAGAGTCGCGGGGACAGGAAGCACGGGTCACGGAGCGATGGTAAGGAGGCTACTTGGGCTTCCACGCCGTGGCCCGTGTGCCCACGTGTTCTAACTCTGGGAGACACAGTGCCACCAAGAGGCCTCTGAATAATGCACACACAGCATGTGTGGGGTGCTCCTTCCCAGCCCCGTGTGCTGTCACCTCCGAGCTCCAGGGACACCTTCAGTCTGCTACTCCAGCTCTCTGTGGGGCTGGCTGCTTCTGGATACAATAGTGCGTCCTACAGTCATGGCCGCACCCCTGCACCTGCTTAGCTGTAAAGTGAGCCCTCTGATGGCTGCTATGTCATGTGGAATCCATGCCTGGCCAGGTGTCCCATAAGCCCCCAGACGGTGCTGATGGCTGAGGTTCTGTGGGCAGGAAAGACAAAGCCACACCCAGAATAGGTATCTGTCCACGTGAGGATGAACCGCTGGCCGTTTCGAGGTGTAAGGGGCTTAACATGGCCGCCTTGCCACCGAGCAGATGGTCTCCTCCAGGAAGAGCGCCATATTGGGGTCAGCCTTGTTCTCAGCTGCTGACTGGTTGGAAATTCAGAGGTGGCAGTGGCTAGATCGTCCTCGATAAATGGGAGTCCGTCCTCTCAGACCCACACACAGCCTCCTTCTCTGCCACTCACGTACCCATCTAGCCAGTCCCAAGGTGCCTGGTGACAAAGGCTAGCTGCCATCCACCAGTGAGTCATTTTGTGTGCTTGGCCGTTCAGCGCCTTTTGCGCAGTGGGTGGCCTCTGGTGGGCACCATAACGTGTGATTCCGACACCTTTACACCTCACGTACACCATTCCCGTATGTCCTTCCACACGCCTCTACCCAGACCTTTCTGTCCCTAACCCTGCAGACCCCTAACCAGCCGGCCGGACCACTGGCCGCTGTCCAGGCGCCTGTGCGTATCCTCCCCTCGGTCTCCTTCTCCGGCCACACGTGTGGATGAACAACTGTACTGGTCACAGCCCTGCCCACTGGGAAGAGCTGTCTCCTGGGACATTCAGGGCTGTCCTGGGTCATGACGGTCACGCAACAGCTAAACACGTTCAGATTACTCAGATGGCCATCTGTCGAGGCAGCTTGGATTTTTCTATCTGCCCCTCACGCGGGTCAGACAGGACGCTCTGCTACCCACATGGCCATAGGAGTCAGCTGGGGAAGGGGCGCTGGTGGAGTCTTACGGTTTGCTCAGCCTCTGTCCCAAATGCACCACCTCCCTCTCGTAATGGACCGCTGCTGGTGTGTTCAACTTCGTGACTTGGTGGGTCCCACAGGACCTAGACCGCAAGGAGGCAGCTCCAAGTGCGTGGACGGTCCGTGCTCCAAGGTCAAGTGTCCCCTCTCCCAGCAACATGTTTCTCAAAAGGAGCATAGTTCTCTGCCGTAGTTGGCATGGCCTTGCTCGCATTGGGGTTCTCCCCTGGCTGGTCATGACCTCCGTGGTACCTCTCCTCCCATCGGTGACGTCACCAACACTGCCGCGGATTCCCAGGGAGGAGCCCCACACGGCCACCCGGATGGCTGCGGCGACATCAGCCCCCTCCCAGACTTCCAGCCCCACCTGCCTGAGCTCTCCCCCGGCCCCATGCCCCAGTTCTACCCGGCAGAATTTCCCCCAAGAGGTGGGCAGGACTGCCTCTGGGGCCCATAAGCATGCCATGTGGGTTGAGTTGTGTCCCCCAGAGAGAGATGCTGAAGCCACATGCCTGCCACCTGTGAATGTGACCTTCTCTGGAAATAGGGTCTTTGGTTCCTTAAGGGGAGGTCATGAAGGGGACCCCTAATCTAGATGACTGGGTCCTTAGGAGAAGAGAGGGGGCACAGAGACAGATGCACAGAGAGGAAAACACCATGAAGACGTGCGCTCAAGCAGAAGGCCGCGTCAGGGTGGGGTCAGGGGTTGGAAGGATGCATCTAGAAGCCAAGGAACTCCAAGGACATCTAGCAGCACCAGAATCTGAGACGGAGGTGCAGAGCGCACCCGCCCCCCACCCCCCAGAGCCTCGTGCGCTCTGCTGATGGCTCCGGTGACACCCCGATCTCGCACTTGTAGCATCCAGAACTGCAAGAGAGTAAGTTTCTGTTATGAGCCACCCCGTCTGTGACTCTTTGTTACGGCCGCGGTAGAAACTAACACACAGGCACATGGACACACACGCACGCACGCACGCACGCACCTTTCTCTGCTGCCCTCCGTACTTTTGTCCTGGCTTCTCTCCTGCCTGGAGCGCCCCTCCTTCTCTCCTCCACTCACTCACAGCTCCCCTTGTCCCCGTCAGGGCACCTAAATCTTCCCTCGGGAGCACCCAGGGACTTGCTCACCTCACCCTCTGTCCCCCTGCGTTCCTAACACGTCTGCGGGTGGCACCGAACCCCTGAGCGCTTAATTATAAAATGCCCTGCTTGATCTATTTTTATTTCTCACCTTGCTCCCTAAAAGGATCTCGGGCAGCTTCTGCTTCCTATAGCTCGAAGGCTATCTCTACCGTATTTTTGAAGACCGACCCTTTTGTTTTTAGAACCAAGTAGTGTCTGACCTCACATCTCAGCGTCTACACAGGGCAAGGCTCTACCTGAGGTCTGGAGGGCCTGCGGGAGAGGTGACCAGACCACATGGGTGCAGTGCTCTGGGACCCAGCCATGCCCGTCTTCTGACTCTCGATGGATGGCTCCTGTGTTCGGATTGGTCTCTGAGACTCTGATGCCCTGTGCTTGGACCAGCCGTGCCATCTGTTGGGGATTTGGGAGGGCCCCCATATTTGAACCCACCCAAGCCTCAGAGTCCCCGGGTGCTTGAATAGCTCTTGGAAGGAAAAAAAAAAAATTAAATCCAGATCTTGCCACGTGAGTTAGTGCACAGCAAGGGGACAAGACGACCCATTCCAAATGTAAATCAAAGTCAATTTGTAGCGACAGCCACATTTAGCACCCATAAGCTCCCATTTTAATCAAGGCGGAAAGCGGTTCGTCTGCAATCAAGGCCCGAGAATTAGCACCATCTCAAGACACGTCCTTGTCATCTGGCAGAGTGGCTTTGGGCGCCAGCCCAGCTGTGTTCTCGGTGGCTCCCGTAACAGCAGTTCGCAGCCCATGAAGCCCTCTCGAAATACGAATGTGCTCAACATCACCGTGCGTCCTGGGTGTCGGAGAAGACTGTGCAACTGAAGGACCCAGGTTCCTTCACGAGGACATCATCCTTTGCTGTGCCTGCTGGGATGGGCATCTCAGAGACCCACGGGCAGGAAGCAAAGTCAGCAGGAGCAGAGCAGAGGACGTGGGGCTCGGCCCCCGCCTGATCCTTCCGATTACAGAATCTGCAGTGACATCACAGCCCCGATTGAATGGGGCCAGGCCGGCCCCTCCCTGTACCATCCTGTCGTCTCGTCACCCGGGAAAGGGGTCTCTGGGGCTCGTCACGAAGGACAGTTGTCCACCTCAGACAATCCTGGAGTTTTGCTGGTAGGGGCCCTGATACCCAGTCTTCCCGCCTTGTCGCTATGAGGGTGGCTGGATGCCCCCGTCCCATGACACCACTGCTAACTAGCCCAGGGACAGGAAGCTCCTCCCACCCACCCTTTTCACCATCACTGGGCCTTCTGCAGGGAGCAAAACCACCCAGGCTCTCGGCTCTCACCAGTGACCATCTGCCACCCAGCCCAGAGGAAGTTGGGTCTTGAAGAGCCAACGGGCATGCCATTTTCCGAAAACACGGAGGAAAACACCCCACAGTTCATCTAGACAAATATATGCCTGCAAAGTTAGCAATGCCGTCTTTGGCAAGGTAGGTACACTCCCCCGACCTCAGGAAGTGCAGAGATGGGAGTGCACGGCTCTCCACGGTGCCGGGGTCTCTGGTAGAGCCCCCCAGCTTGGTCGTCCGGTCACGTTTCTTATTCTTATTTTAGTGACTCTGTTCTGTTGTGCCTCTTACTGTCCGCGATCTCAG